CGGTCTGTGGCCACTGAGGGTCGGGTGTGTTGTGTTGAGTGGACAGTAGGTCCGCCTCTTGCGGTAGTTTTGTGTACTCAATGATGCGCTCGACTGAAGTCATGTGAGACTCCATTTCGGCCGACTGTCTCACACCGTATTGCGTGTAATTGATTAGCATTAACACTGAAATTCACACAAAATTACCATAAGTTTAATTCAAACATTATTTCATTGATCATTTTATCAGTTAATTTGTTACCTGATACAAATGCCAAACCAATACTGCTGCCAACTGTGTTAAACAAAACAATCAATTAGTAAGAATTTAATTAGATGTCTAATAAAAATTTATACAGTATTTATGAATGTAGTAAATTATCTTATTATCACTGATAATAAACTTACCCTAATTTAACAATAGTTACATTTAAATTATTAAGTATATAGAGGATTATTTGATTATTTTACCTGCTTGTATATCTGCAAATGCACTCGTTGTGACGCCACCTATAATAAGTACAAATATACAATTTAAATTAATGTATTACAAAGGTATCTATAGTACCATAATTAAGCGCGATGATCACAACTGCTACGACAATAAAATAAATAACACACAGCCAGTCAATGGTAATGCCTAACGTTCTGGCTGCTGCTAAATAAATGAACCAGGTGGCCGAGTGGTCATCTTGGTATTTGTAAAATTGGTTTTGAAAGGCCTGTTGGGCGCCGTACGCCCTAATACTAGCCAAACCCCGTAACGTTGCGCTCACGTGCGATAACACAGGACTGCGTGCTATTTCAAACAAATTAATACATAACCATCATGTTAATAATTAGTTTGTTTTTGTGTAAATTACATACTTAAACCCTCCATACGTTTAATATCACGCGCGGTTTTAATGTAGATATTGCGAATAAATGCTGATAGTATTAATACGATAACACCCGGTATTACCAGATAATAATTGACCAAGGCGGCCACTATTATTGTAAACACTATTAATGACACTCCCTGTTATTAAAATAGCAAACATGCATAAATTAAATATACTGACAATATTCAAATAAATAAAATTATTAAATTTACCAAGTTCACTTCGTACAACACATTGGGCAGCACCTCGTCGATAGCGCTCACATCTTTAGAAAATCTATTCATAATTCTGCCTGGTCAATTAAAAAATAAGCAACAATTAATTAATCAGTCATTTTATATTTATTTGTAATTATAAAACATGATAAACTTAAGTATAAAAATTGTAGTATAACTTAATACCAATAGGATTGCTATCAAACACAGCCATAGGCGCCCGGAATAGTGTAGTAAATACCCTGTTGTGTAAAGTCTTGGCCGCTTTCAGACATATGTGATACCACGTCAACACACGTACTATTGTGGCCAACAATAGGGCCGCGATTAGCACCGCGTATATAATCACATATAATTGATTCTTCTCAAAAGTAGACTGTCCCGTCTCAGACAGCGAGGCCCTTATTGTTTCATACAGGGAACAATAAACATACAATTTACAAACGAGTTAAGTATTAATTAAGTTTAATTGGTAATCAATATATACCACACGAGTAGCCATATGTCTGACGCGTGAAACAAGGCTTGCGATAGGAAAGTGAACACTAGTGTAACGGTTCCCATAAATAGGCCGCACCCGGCCTTCACGTACAACCAGTACACCCGACCACCGATCGAGCCCTGAGTCTGCAGTTCTTCCTCTATGTGCGGCGCCTCCGACTCAACCATTGATTTTCTTGGCTATAAAATAAACATGTTAAAAATAATAAAAAATTAATACATGTATAAATCACGTGTGTTATGTATTAGCAAAGTCTTGGTAGTTAACATTAACCTAACTAATTATTACCTGTATAGAGCTGGCCCGACGTCTAGCGCTTGAACCCCTTCGGACCGAACCGGTAGTTCCCGTCGGGACGCTTAAACTCGCCCTCGAAATACTACCAAAACGTGGCGACACTACGTCCGGAGCGTTACCAGCGGTCATCTGTCCCTCAAACATACCCATCACACCCTCCCCGCCCCCAACGACCCCCACAACCCCCTCCCCCTCATTGTCGCCGCCGTTATTATTGTCGTCGTCCGTACCGTCGATGAGTGCCATAAAGTCTAAGCCTTTGGCCAACAGTTCGTCAAACGTTCCCAAAGCTAAACACTTTCCGTCGTCTAACACAAGGATTTTCGTAGCGTTTCGTATGAATTGGATTTGATGTGTGACTAGTATTCGGATTTTGGGCCCCAAGTAGTCAACTATACACCTGACAGAGTATAAAGATAAATGCGCATATAAGCGGAATCACTTGATCCCGTATAAAATTTAAAATAATTAGTAGATTTATCTCAACTAAATTTTAACAGTATCAATGATATCAAGTGAAAAAGTCTATAAAATTTCATTAATTTACCTATACCCATTCGTAAGATATAAATTCATAACTGTATTAAAATTTACCCGCGTTTTAACACTACACCAGATTTCGAGAATAATAGAGAACAAAATATTTTTAATTTAAGATTTTGATTATATATTTATTATAATATCATTTCAATGGTTTAGTTGTGTTATAAAAAAATATTTGTATCAACTTAAATGAATTTTCATGACCCCACATAACCACCAATTTTGATCAAGTTTACCGATTTATAAGCTCGGGACCGGTTTTGATCAGGTTGGGCAAGTTTGATCACGCTCAAACTTTCAGATATTGTTACCATATATTGTAAGAATAGTTTAATTAATTAATGTTTTGTTAAATTCATCAGGAACAGTACTTGGTCAAGTGAGTTCCGACGGTGATATTCCGAAACTTTTTAGGGCCTAAAATTGTGGCCATCGGGTGATTTAAAATATTTTATTATACATGATTGTTTGAGGAACAAATTAATAGACGTAACTGTTTAATATAAAAAATTTTCGAGTTAAATTCAGTAGTTATTTTTAATTTTTCACTGAATTAAATGATTTCGGTTTTATGCGCATTGAACTTTATAAGCAATATGTGATTAGTACAATAATAATCATGTTTATAATAATTTTGATACTACATAAATAAATAACATGAATATAATATTAATAAAATAAGGTTCGAAGCACGCATTGACTCCAGACCAATTATTGTATTGATTTGTGTTATAATATAGTTGACTAATAATGTTTGTGTTACAGCTTGTTTTACATATACTGTAAGTACTATAATTTCTATTGCTAATGTTAACATTAATTAAAATTTTTAATTGTAAGTGAGAGTTTTATATTGGCAACTTTAATAAATGATCTAAAAATCATAAGATAAATAAAATATTTATTTAAATACAATGTCTTTCTCTTTTGTACCAAGAATAATATTTTAAATTATTGAGAGATAGCATAGTTACATTTACAATGATTTTGTTACAGCTTGTTTTTATAAGTTTGTATTTTAGTAACTTTATGTACAATTTATTAGGTAATGTGTTTTATAATTATTCGTTCAGTTTTTGACTACTGTACATAATAAACTATCATTATTAGATATAAATTAAAAAGTTGGAAAATATAAAATAAATAATTATGGTATCGATTTCTTATTCCTTTTCCCAATTAACTTATTGGTATTTTGTAAAGTATAATAAATTTTACTATCTGTAACTTTATTACAATTGTTATACGTTTTCATATAAATTTTAAAGTTTATACAATAATAAAATAAACATAACAATAATGACCTAGGTGACTTACTGTTCAAATATATGTTCGGCAACGGCCGCGTCCACAGCCGATAGCGGGTCGTCCATAAGGCATATGTCGGCGTTTCTGTACAGAGATCTGTGCGAAAAGGTATTACACATTAGAATTAAATTATATGTTCATAATTTCTATTTTATTTTAATTAATTATTAATTTTTAAAAAATAGTTTATCACCTTGCTAAAGTTATCCTGGCCTTTTGACCCCCGCTAACAGACACACCGTTTTCACCCATTAGTGTCCGGTCGCCGAACGGCAATATCTTGAGGTCCCGTTCGAGAGCGCAAACCCTCACAACCTCTCTATACCTGCGTTCGTCGTATTCCCGGCCAAACAATATGTTATTTCGGACACTATTGTTGAAACTCCACGACTCCTGAGCCGAGTAACTAACGGTGCCGTTGATATGTATGGACCCACTCATCAGTTCCAGTTCGCCCAATAATGACATTAAAAATGAACTCTGTCAATTTAAATTGAGACCATACATGTAAGATAATTTGCTATTTGTTTATAAGCATAATACAATTTACTTTGCCTGAGCCGACCGGTCCTATCACAGCCAATAAATCACCAGAATTTAAATCAACAGATATATTATCAAGTGTGAGTTTATAATTATCCTAGGTGAATAAATAAAAATTATGAAATTAATCACACATAAAACAATTAAATATGCAAGACAACCTTGTTCCATTTAACAAATATATTCTTGACCATGATATTTGTCGGCAACGCAATACCGGCGGGCAATTCTGTCTTACGTCCCAAAGTAAAGTTTTGATCAAAATCGGCTCTACCTCGAGCCTTAGTCAGCGATTTATATGTATAAACATGGTCGTGTTTTTTAGCTTCATAATTAGATTTTTTGTCCCCCATTTCATCGAGCAACAAGAATTCCTAAATTAAATCAAACTACGTTAATGTGTTAACTAGACTATAGCCCGTATGGTTACCTCAATCCTACGGCACGTGACCCACGACTCGGCCCCGAAATTGATGGCGTGAGTAAATATTTGATTGACAGACAAACGCAATATATTGAACAGGGCCATTATTACAAATACCAGCCGCACTGTCAACGTGTGGCCAGTCATTACAAACGTAATAAACATGAAAAACAGCATAATCTTGGTCAATATCATGAAGGTAATTGTGTTTACCGCTTTCAGGTAATAGGATTTTTGTATTTTATCAAGTTCCATGCTAAATAAATTTTATAATTAAATAAAAACAAAATAAAAACACACTATTAACATTTAATTTGGGTACGTATGTTTATCTAGATAATAAAATTCAACAATAATTAAATTGTATTTTACTTTCTAGCTTTGTTAACTAGATCAATGAACCACTGTTCCCATGTGTACATCTTGATCACTCGCATACCGGCAATTATCTCGTTCATTAACCCTAGCCTTGAATCAGTCAACTTCGAAGTCGCCGCTCTATGTTATTTAAATAAGCTCCACATAATTAACATAATTGCTACATAAATCAATTATGCAAAAATAAAACTCTAATTTCAAATTACATACCTTATTCGTTTAAACCTGTTACCTATAAACATCTGACATGGTATGTAAAGTACAAATAATACCAGTGATATGACTGCAGGTATACCCAAATAAGCCCATGTTATGCTGATGACCATGATGGTCTGTATGGGGGCAGCTAATAGAAAACCCATTGAGATACCAAACTAATTATTCAATAAATATTTTAATATGAGTAATGCCTTATAAGTAAATATGTGATTGAAATCATCATTAAATCTAACCTCATCAAATTTATTTACATCATTTGATATGATATTTATAAATTGAGCGCCAGTGCTCTCACCCAGTGATGATTGGCTTAATTTTAGACACTAGTGAGACATTTATTAATTTAATACCATCATGTATCTATGGTCTGTAAAATTTATCTAGTACTTAATTGAAACAATTACCTTATGATACATTAAGGTAGTGGATGCAACGCGTACGCGCATCGCTAATTGACCAATACGTATTTGACATGGTGATATTATGACCACAGACAGGATAGTGCCAAATACCATACCAGCGGCTGCCATACAGGCGTCGGCAAACGTCAGGTACGTTTGACCGGCAAAATAGTCGATCACAAAGCCCAACAACAGGGGCGCTGATATACGTATAACACATTCCTGTGATCATCATAAAAAATTACTTGTAAAGTTAAATTAAGTGATTAACTTAATATTTAAAATCTAACCAGCTCATAGGTCATAAACAAGTGTTTATGTTAAATTTTGTTACAGAATCAGTAGATGTAATGTTTTAATTGTAATACCGCTAAGAGCTACATCTATTATCTACTACATTGACACATGAGTAGTAAAATTGTTACATATTATTAAACTTACCACGAGCACAATTATTGTTAAAAGTATGGTAAACTCTATGCCATACGTTCTCATCAATGCCCACCAGAATTTTGGCAATTGTTTCTCGCGTTCGAGATTCCAGATCCTGATTATAGTTAATAAAATTGCATAAAAAATTAGTTTGTTAAAAATTATCCAACTATTGCCTTTCTAATTGAGCGACGGTTTGTTGCGATTGATCATGTGCCGAACATCTAGTCAGATCCTTGTAGGTTAGTTTGTCTTTACGCCACCCTGTCCAAAATAGCGGATACACCCACCTTGATTTATTTGAGGTTCATATTTAACAATGTTCATTTATATACTATGCATAACTATGCAACTTTAGTTTTTATATTAACTTACGTTGTGAGACATTTTTGAAAAATGTTTAGCGAATCCCAAAGCGATTTAGCAGTAATACGATTCTCAACTTCCATTGATTATGATTTTATACTGCAATATATCATTATTATTGTTATATTTAAATGTTGCATGTATTAAATATTTACTTATATTATAACTTTTATATATAAAAATTATATAACAAAAAGTATTTTGTCAATAAAAACGGATACAAAGAACTAAACTTAAAAAATAAATTAGTAGTATTGATATCATACGTCAATTGTAATATCGCACCATCATGGCAACTTTAAATTACTTTAAGTCATTGTGTACTTACATTGTTTAAGAATTAACCTCTCTATGGGAAATTTTATTTTATTTTTAACTAAAATCATTAGATGATATTTCTAGTTACAATGTTAAGAATCGTACTTACATATAATTATCCCTGTTAAATCACCTTCATTTATATCAAAAACGACATTGATTATTTTATAAAGTATTGAGTGTTGAATAAAATAAAGAATAGTCATTAAAATCTATGCAATATTACTTTGATTACTTTATTTAATGAGACAAATATCTTGTGTTAATAATTATGTTTTACACTACATATTAATAAATTAGATGAATAATTATTTAGGAATTATTTTATTAAAACAAAAAAATTATAAGAAATATATTTAAATTAACTTTAATTAAAAATTAGCCAGTTGAGTTTAAAAGCCCAATATTTTACGGTAACAATCCTGAAATGTAAACGTTATAAATGACTATGAATATAATAGATAAAACAAACCATGTACATTTATTGTTTTGCTGTCCTTCATTAGTTGATTATGCATATGTGTGTTGAGATCGCGCTGGCATTTATGGTAATGACTGTCACACATGTCTAGTATTTCGTGCCGGTGGTCATTATTTTTCACCTTGGTAAATGGTGACAAAAATGTGCTAGATTTTTGCGCACATGCTCCCATCTGCTCGTTTAGCTATTAAATATAATATAATAGTTAAATATTTATAGTGACACTGTTATTATTAAATTATATATTTTTTATATTTATTAAATGATAATTTTTGTAAATAATTAATAATTAATTAAATTTAGTTTATAATTAGTGCTTTCTTATTGAGAGATTAGTTAGCAATATTAATTATTTAATTATATATAATTAATTGACGGTACTTTTAATGATGATAAATATTTGATAAAACTAACCTTTTTAAAAGATGGACTCCATTTATTATGAAACTGTTGATCACATTTAGCTAATTGATTAAATTTATCATCACTAATCACATGCGGGTCACACATTTTGGCTTTAATTTTACCATCGAGTTCGTCAGTAAACTCGCTTTTAATACAATTGACGGTTAAACAAATGATTATGTTAATAATAATTAACAATATTTTAGCCATAATTACAACAATATAACAAAATATATAATTTATAATACAGTGAAAAGTAAAAATTTAGATAAACTAATTTTTTTAAATGTTCATTAACTACTGACGAGTGTTTTATTGTTTTATTGTTTTACAGTATAAACCTGATTATTTATACATGATGATTGTATAAATAACATTAATTATTTGAATTAACGTAAAATGTTTTCAATTGATAAATGATATTTTTAATTTCAATATATTCTTTTATATAATTGTTCAATGTTAATTATTTATTTCTTAAAAATGATACTAGATTACTATGAAATTTTAGTTACAAACAATTTGTTTTGTTTATTGTTTTCAATATGTTTAAACAGTTATGTTATTGAAATCTCTCTCTCTCTCTCTCTCTCTCTCTCTCTCTCTCTTAAAATGTAAAAATATTGCAAAAAAAACTTTTAATGTTTAATAAAAATTTTATTACAACAAAAACAATAATACTTTAAACAGAATCAATCAAATTCAATAATTAATTATTTAATTCCCATTATTTAAGAATATTCCGGTAGCAATCCTAAACAAAAAACAAAGCAAAAATTAATTTTAATTTAACCAATATAAATAACAACATGATCGTACATCTCTTGTTTTAGCGTACGATACAGTTTTATCATTAAGCATCTTGTACAATTTGCCACGACAAATCTTGTAATCAGCGTTGCACGTGAGCAATAAACTATCCTGGGTTGTATTTAGCCTAACGTTACTATACCTGGTCAATTGGTCGTTGTATGTTTGCCTGCATGTGCTTATTGACTGTTCCATCACCTAGTTTATTTGCAACAATTGTACTTTTTTGTAATTTATCTTTTATACTTATTAAATTAGTAAATGAATTTTATTTTATTTAGTACTTAAATCATAATAAAACATGTTTATTAAACAATAATGACCAACCTCTTTCCAATACGGTCTAACCTGATTATAGTAATCATCGGTACATCTCTCTAATTGTTGCCACTTATCATCGGTAATGAATGTCGTGTCACAAGCTTTTAGTTTCATAGTATCGTCCAATTTGTTTAGCATAAACTGCATTGAATTTGTGATGCATAGGGCTATCATAAATAGAGCAAACGTTAGTTTTATATGCATCATTATATTATCATAACTAATATTTAACACAATTTTCAATCACGATTTAATCAATGTTTTACAATGCAAAAAATTACATTGATATTTATTTAATTTTTTAAAATATAAAATTTAAATATTGAATCCATCTGCTTGTTAACTAAATATTTGTTGACCATATTGCATTTATAATAATTTATAATTTAATTGTTATATTGATATTCTGTCATTGAACGGAAAAGTACATTTTAAAAATTTACACTTATCAATCACTAATAACATAAACATTATATTGATACTAATATTATTATATTATAAACATATTTGATCAGTGACCAAATATTTGTAAAGAATATTGTTGATTTAAAAAATAAACAATGTCAATCTTAAACAAGTGTCACCAGTTGCATTGTTAGTGTCAATGATTAATGTAATATCTACATTATTTAATTATATTAAAATTTCTAGGATAAATTATTTAATTTAAATTGTAGCATAATTATAATTTTATACACTATTTATTAAAATACAATTAATTAAAATTAATTATTTCTGACCATCAATAAATAATTAAAAATAAACTTTTATTGAGTTTAATTGATATTTATTTAATTATTTATGTATTTATTATAAATTATTTAAAATTTTTTGAAAAATTACACAAATGTAAAGTTTTATTATTTAGTAACAAGTTTAAAAAGTGTGATAATTATTTTTATTCAGTTTAAAGACCAAGCGCTTTTTTATAACATTCCTAAATAAAAATAGACAAAAATAAAATTATTATTTAAATTTATTAAACACATGAAACATTAACTTCTCTGAATTTGTCGACCGGTTTCATTTTGTCATTAAACTCTTGGCGTACAGTACGCCTACACGACAAGTATTCAGCATTACATCTAATAAGCAATTTATCTTGGTGTTTGCTATCTTTAACATTAGTAAAATTGGCCAAAAACGAGGTAAAATTGGGTTTACATTTGGTCACCGCATTATCTGTACACTAATTATAAGGCAAAATAATATTTATAATAATATTAGTCAACATTATAGACAAATACTGTATATTAAATCATTAAAATATAGATACAAATAATTTATCTAAATTAATTAGTAATCTACTAATAAAAATCATATTATGTACCCAACCTGTTTCCATATGGGATCCATTTGTTTAATGTACTCCTGGTCACATTTCTCTAGGGGTGGTATTTTTTGGTCGGTAATAAACGAGGCGTCACATACTTTTGCCCGTAAATTATCGCTCAAGCCGTACATCATATTGTTTTGCATACTATAACCAACGGTTAATAGTAGGCATAAAATTGTAAACATCATGTTTTTAGATAATGTTACTAGTTACAAATCGAGAATAGAATTCATTTGATTTTTAAAAATTATATAACAGGCATTAGTTAATCCAATTTCTTTTTATATGAGCTTGTTTAATTGATTGTGTAATTTAAATTTTTGTTTGACATGCATTTTGACAGTTGTGTTATTTGTTTTTATAGTTTTGTTTATCCATGTGTAAATTACATTAAATCAACTATAATATCTGCTTGTTGCTATTGTATTATGTGTCGATCACTTTAAAAATTTAACAATAGTAATTATTTTATAAGTTATTTACATAAACCAAAGTGACATGACACTATCACAGCTATTATAAAAGGCAATGAAATTGTATTTACCCTATTATCACTGCTCATCTTGTTATGGCCATTAACTTTTAAATATTACACTAGGTTGTAGTGATGTAAAGTTACAATATAACGTATAAATTAATAATTCAATAAACCACAATAAGTTGATATAATATTACCCATTCATAAAATATTTCCCAGGCAAGTTGCTTTTATTTTACAACGATTATTAAAAATATTACTGCTATACACATAGGCTATGTGACATAGCCTATGTGTATTTTAATATGGTTGTCATTTATATTATAAAGTTTATAATTAATTATTAATTAAATATGCTTAAAATTTTTAGTTGTAGCATTTTTATATTTTAGTAATGAGTGTTACAAAAGTGCAATTTATTTAATTATTTATTTGACACATTATATTAATATTTGTTTGGCAACCTTTAAATATAACATTAAGTTGAATAATTTATTCAAGTAAATGCTGACTAAATTTATTGAAATAAAATGTCTGGTTAAATAATATGCATATACATGTAGTCACATAAATGGTTTACTCAGACAATTTGCTGATTATATTATGCCATACCAAGTGCCGACTTATAACAGGCCTAAATACATGCAAATATGTTAATCAGTAAATTGATCATAATACACTATAAATCATGGTAATAGAGAGTTTACATTTTTAGTTCTGCGATCAAGGTAAACTTGCTGTTTGGTCAATGCATACGCATTCTTATAGCACATGTGATAACCTGTATTACAGGCATTCATCACATCCTCCCTGTCCTCATCTGTGGTCACATTCAAACTCATCCAATCGTTTCGCACCATTTCTGCACACTTTTTAAATTCAGGTTCAATGCTATACATGTATTGTTTAACAACAGTCAATTAGATCATGTTTGTTTTAAAATAACAATTAACATTAGTAAATTAACGTATAAACTTGTAAACAAAATACACATTGTTATTGTCAATAAATTAATAATGCAAAAAATTGATCAACCATGTTACCTTTTTTGTTGGGCCATGTCCATATACCACTGATCGTCGTACTGTTTATCGCATGCCTTTAATTTCATGATGATATCGCTGTTAATGGTTGTCATATCGCAAACACGGGCTACGGTTTGCGATGCAATTTCTGACAAATCAAACGATTCCGTATTCATAGCCAATACTAATACCATCATAATTATGGGCATAGTATAAAGTCTAATTTTACCACCATGCCACATTGTTAATGGTTATTTTGATGATTAGTTTAGGTCAATATTTTATTTATATTTTAATATGATACGGGCTATACAATACTACCGTATGCTTAAATAGTTTATATTTTTATTGTTTATAAATGCACTTTTGTGTGCAAAATCAATTTATTCTAGCTCCACATGTTAAATGCAGTATGTGCATGATGTGTATAATCAATCAAAAATTTTAATTAATGTGCAATTCTTAGAATAAGTTTGTCATATACAAAATATATCTTTACTGTATTACTAACAATATAAATTTCTAAATAACTAAAGATTGATGGTCACAAAATTAAGGGCCGGAGTTTACATATTTTAAATTAATAACTTTAAATGTTTAAAAATCGAAAGTAAACCCCCTATCCTTAACTTTTGTGGCCACATAGAAAACAGTGTTTACAAAATAGATGTAATGTGTTGACATATTATGGATATTTGAAAAATTAATTGTTGATTAGATCATTCACAAATTAAATATGTAAAAATAAACTGTAATAATTTTCAGTTATGCATATGTATAGATGTCTGCCATATCTCAACCAGTTGATATAAAAATTATATTATTTTATAAAGTTAAACAGATAAATACACATTAAAATTAACCTTTAACTAATGTTAGATATTTCGGTTTGTTTAGTTATAACAAATTCTAAAATGTTTTGTTTCAAATTGTTTTTTTATACTTTTAAGTTAAAAACAATAGATACCACGCTGATTAAACATAATAATTAAACATACATGTATACATACAATACACGTCTCAATATTGTTAAATGTAATTACAGTCTAATTAGTTAGTAAATTGAATTCTATGTATGTATCGATATATACCCATTCCGTTGTATAAGTTATTAAAACATTACATTAAAAAAACATACGGTAAATGTGTGCCAAACTATTAATTGTTATATTTATTATTACAAAAGTCAATGTATTAGTGGTGTTGAGCGCAGATGAAGAGAACTACGACAAGACGTGTCTAATGGACTCCATCTGTAAGAGGGGTGGCGTGAAAACGAACTCTCCCTGTCATCAGATGCACGCGCCCTACGATAATGTAACCGATGATGATTTCTATGAACTCTTATCCACTAATTGTCCGCATTATTTCAACCATAAAGGTTTAAAATTTTTGTATTAAATAAAGTTTACAATTAAATTTTATAAAATTTAATGCATAAAATTAAATAAAATTTTAGTAATCCTGGGTTTTGCACGTAATTTATTAATTTAATTTGATAGGAGAACTGTTACATCGGTTGTGCTGTTCGCCAGAACAGGAGGAGTCAGTCACTCGACTACTAAATTACGCCGATTTAATCAGCAGGTCGTGTCCCGCGTGCGCTGTCAACGCCAAAAAGTACTTTTGTAACATGTATTGTCTCCCGAACCAGAACCAAATGATCAAGATCGAAAAGACGTCGGGTAAGGCTATAATTTAATCATTTAACGATTCTAAAAATAGTATATAGAATAAAATTGTTGTTACGAATGTAAGCATAAATAACTTGAATCCAGTTTAGTAATTTTAACTGCACCAGATGGCACATAGGCCACTTAATTTTCATTTAAACCAAAATATAAAAATTAAGGATAATAAAAATCAAATTCTTTTAGGAAAATCAGTGTTGAACGTGTCGTACGTCGTGTCCAAAAAATTTGCGCAAACATTATTCGAGTCGTGTTATGACGTGAAACTATTTGGCGGATACCTTATGGACTTGAAGTACACTTGTGGCCAACACAAGCGCGACAATTGTGACGCTACTAAGTTTCTGACCACATTGGGTGCCTTATCGCAGATGCCATTAGTCATACACCCGGTCATTACCGACAAGGCTTGGGTGACGATTGGGGGCCACAGCTATACGCCAATGTCGACCGACGCCTACCAGTGTTACGAAGCGCCGCCGGGCGAGAACAAGTGCTCGTGCGATAATTGTGACCACAGGTGTAACGAAACCATGGTGAAAAATTTGGCGCACAATTTAACGCTAAATCAATTATTAGGTGTACATGTTTTTATTATCGCGCTCAGTTTAGTTGCTAGGATATTATTTTAACTACCAATTGTTAACCATTATTTTATTATTTTTGTACATTATGTAATAAAACTTATTTCCGAGAATATAATGATTAAATATTTAAAAAAAATTTGCTGAATACACATGGGTAAATACTAAAACTTTTCATACAACTATTTCAAAATTATTACAATATAATAAGTAATTATCTAAATAATAATTAACATTGTAAACTAACAAGTTTCATTAAAGTTTAAACAAGATGTTTTAAAAAAAATACAAATCAAACAGAAAAATAGTATTGATGTACACATCGCATGCTATATAAATCACTGTTTAAAGTTAGTTAGTTTTATAAATCATCTTAAACAATTAAATCTATTATACAAAATACTTGTAAAGTTAATTAAAACGTTCATTAATAATGTTTGCCATCGCTGTGGGGCTAATAATATTACTGGCGTTTCAGTCAACGGTGTTGTGTCGATACGGCTCTAACGACACAATTACTGTCAAAATGTGTGACCCGGAGTTCATCACCGATCAGACGGCTCAGGCACTCGAGAAATGCGATACCGATTATTATGAAAGTATGCAAAACGTTTGGAAACTGGTCTGTAAAACAATTAACATTATGATCGATTTCCTTTCCTCCTTTGCACTTATGTATATGTTTTTTACCTGTTTATATTTTTTTTGTATTTTCTAATTACACAAATGATCATGTCACATTTATTCCGTTCCATTCTCGGGCTCTGGTTATACACGTATATTATAAACCCCTTTATTATACAGTATATTTGAGAGTTTGATTAGGATCCAATTATTCGCTAGAAATGTCAATTGTAAATTGTATTATCGAATTTTATTTGAAATTTGAAATTTATTATATTTAATATATTATTCTTATTTTTAAAAATATTCTAACTAGGCGCAACAACCTACACCAGCTGATTGTTTGAAAAATGTCACTGAAACTGTGTCAAAATATACCAAGTTGAAAGATTCAAAACATCAGGATTATATAATGCGCCGGTGCAGTAGAGATTATGAGCATTGTCTGTATAGAGTTGACCGCAGTCAGTATCGTGAAAAACGAATGGAGAATGAAAAGGCCCGAGATGTATATATTGAGCATGATAACTTTAATTTGATTTTACTTTTAATTTTTATTTGTATTCTATTTATTAGAGTTGCGTGAAAAGTGCGCTTGGTTTAAAATAACAACACTGGATGTAATGTGGTATAAAGTCATCATGACTAATTTTTATAATCATGTTGCAATTATGTTGTAGTATTTAATAATGAATTAATTTAAGTATAAAATAAATTTAAAAATGTTTGTAATATTTTTAACTTAAAATATTTTTAAATAAAATTTAAATACATATTTTACCAATAAATTTATAATTAAATAAAATTAATTACTGTATATAGGAATCTTATACAAAATTTATATAATTATACAATATATAGAATACCAGTATTACCAGCAGCAATATAAAGTTAAGTATTTTTGTCTATAATTTGCATTTTAAATGAATATTAACACATTTTTATTAATAAAATAATTAATTAATTAACTTTAATATTTTCTCGTAAACATCTTTATACAAAATAAACAAATTATGTCATTTATTTAAAAATAATTTATAACAAAACATATTACAAAACATTAATTTTCTTATTTTTGGTTATTGTCAATTTATATGAAAAGTAACAATCTTGATTAAATATATTAATTACATATTGTATTGCCTATTTGTCATTTAATTGTAAATATCACAATTAGTGTATTGTATATATTTAACAATACAAATTATCAGAAGTAATTAAAATGCTTGCTTTTAGCAAGATGTCACGCGCGAACAATAAAACTAAACCAGATTTAATTCATTAATACAGATAAAATAAATATACAAAGTTAATTATAAAATTACATTTATAAAATCAAACCCATAAATACACTGTAAATGCCATCATTATTACAACGTTCATCTAAAAAAATGTTAGGCATCGTTGAATTGGCGCTCGTATTACTAGTGTTTCAATCGTCGGTGTTGTGTCGGTTCGGGTCTAACGACACGACTACTGTCAAAATGTGTGACCCGGAGTTCATCACCGATCAAACACTTGAGGCGATTGACAAATGCGAAACTGATTATAGTAAACAAAGAACTGAGTGGTGGAAAAAGGTATGTCTGTGTGTTTATTATACAGTGTAACCTCTATATTAGAAGCCCACATTACATATACTTACAATTGTAGGCCCAAAATACCACTTTACTAGAAACAATATGTCATCTAATAATTTAAAATTGATTAATTATAAAAATAATCTATATTGATAATTTTATATTTCTTATGTAAATACAATATAACGATCCAATAAACCACATTATTCATAGCTGAATTATGGTTAAAACCACATAGATTGATAATCAATTTAATCACCATAAACTGTTACTTAATTGGTAATGTAATTAATTTTATAAATTATTCCAACGCTAGCATAATTGACACGATGATGCCTACTGTTTAAACAATGTTACCCAAACTGTGGCAAAATACACCAAGGTGAAGGATTTAAAACATCAATATTATATTATGAAGGAATGCAATGGTGATTATTTTAGCTGTATATATGGTGTTGGTAATTATAGCGTTTATAGAGAGATCTATAAGAAAAGACATGTATGTTAACATTTTACACTTTATTAACATATAATTATTATATTATCTAATACTATTATTATTTAAATTATTTATTAGGACTGTATCAAAATCGCGCTTGGTTTAAACTAATAACATGGGATATATTTGACTATGAAAAATGATTTGCCCCTTCAATAAATATTTAACTTTAATTTAATTATATCAATAATATAACATTATAAGTTAAGTAATGTTTCATTTTTAATAAAGTAATAATATTAGTTATAATTTGTTTATTAAATATGCTTATAATTGAATAGTCTTATCGTGTAATATTTAAATAAAATAGAATAAATAAATTATGAATTTACATATTGAGGCACAAAATTGTGGGAATTAGGCAGGAATTAACCACAATTTTGCTAGGGTAATTTTGTCAGATATTTATTAAGATATTGTACTGGAATTTTATACATTAGATTACTGTTGCTCACAACGGGCTAAATAATTGGGGGAAGGCAAAATTAAGGAAAGTTAAAATACAATATATTGTAATTTGTTTATACCTTTATTTATTTTAAATTAGTATTAAAGTTAAATTTTATTAAAAATTATTAAACAATAATTTGCTCAAAACAATGCTTAGGGCAAAAACATACAGACATTTTACCTAAACCTTAGTGATTAAATAAAAGTCGTATTGCTTTAATATAATGTAAATTATGGTTTTGACCAATTTAGTACATGTAGTACATGTACTTACAAGCAATAATTCACCGACAACTTAAGTTGGTATTTGATCATACTTACATTAACTAAATTATCCAGGTTATTATAATTAAGTGAGTAATATATTAAATTAAAACAGTAATTTACATTAATTAATGTGATAAATATTAGTTTTTAATATTTCAGCAATTGCGCCATTCTCTTGGATAAATACTATGAATTTATTTTAAAATTAAAACAAGTACTTTTTAATTTTATAAAAAATTTGTTAAGTTTACTAAACTTATAAATGCTATGTGACTTTTAATTTGTGAACTTAACAATATAACATGTGTTATAAAATGAAAGCAGTTATATGTAGTTAGTTATATGTAGATACCATCTAAGTTTATATTTTAGTAAAAAATAAAATATTTGATTATATCTGTATTGTTAAAAATAAACAATTTAAAACAATTTTTTATTTAAAACATCAATGTCAAATCAAATAATATCATTAATAACATTGTTAATAGTATTTAAAACTATCGACAATCAAAATACTGAGCAGGATAAACATCAAATACATCAAGGTATAAATAAATTAGCAATTATAAAATTACATATATCACTAATCACTAACCAATAATTGCTCAGATAATGATCATGATCAACAAATACCAACTGATCGCCACAACATAGCCAACAACTGGTCAAACAATCCCTTACTTCACAACGACTGCGATTACGCCATATATTGTAAATGTCACACAAGAACTCATTGGACTCAAGAGGAAGTGGACAACACTCGCCGATATTTGCAGTCGCGGTTCTACTACGAGTCGGCCGTACGGCCAGCCCTACCGGCCTGTCGTGCAGTATATATACGGAAAAATTGGAAATGTTTATCGCTTTCCGAAAGGACCCGATTTATAGCAGCCATACGTAAACTGTACGAAAGGGGTGTCATTCAGGCGTACAGTGAACTGCACAACAGGTGGTGGGCAGCCATGCATAAGACCGTGGAGTTTATGGCGTTTCACAGGGCCTTCAATCTGGCCATCGAGAGAGAGCTTTGGAAAATGGACCCAACTTTACCTGGTTTACCATATTGGGTATGTGGTTAAAAAAAACTTTAATTATAACCAGGGTGTTTGTGGCAATTCGCATAACTTGTTTTTTGAATAATTATTTTAAAATAATTTTTAAATTTTTAAGATCATAAAACAAACATTATAAATATACAGTATTAAATAAATTTTACCCTGACTATACCTTAAATACAAGGACGTTGGCACCGACTTTGCACAGCCCTGGAAATCATGTCTATGGCGAGACCTGGGATGGGGTGGACTATACCGTAACGGGTGGTGCGTTAGGGACGGCACTATTCATCATAACCTATCCATTGATTTCCAGCCCCGGTGTACAAAACGCCAGTGGAATTCAGACAACACGTCGCCACCGTTTTTCTCGCCTGAAATCGAAACCTATTGGCTTCAAAATAGTAAAACATTCTACGATATCATGTTTGCTCTTGGTGATTTTCACTTTGATGTACATTTGAGCATTGGTGGTTGGGCGGGCGACGAAAGCGTACCATGGGCACCTAATGAGTATGTGATTATGCTTTTAACAATTCAACAATTATATAATATTTATAATATTACATAAGTAAATAAAACTGCGTTTATTATTTTTATTATGCATGTTAATTTTAGACATAGCAAACAAAACTAAACAAAAAACTAAAATACAGATTAAATACAATGTAGTTTTACATTCATGCTCTATCACAACACGTGGGACTCATCGATGTTGCGATGGCAGCTGCAGAGCGCCGACAAGTTGGTGCCGGTCGACGGGTACGCCGACCCACGGCTAGCACTCGTCGACCCCGTGACCGGACACTGGAGGCCGTCCAACATCTACGACAGAATCACATACTTTAACCGCTCGGCTGTTGAGTACTTTCACATGGGTTTTGGCGATTTGTGTTACGTTTACGACAATATGATTGAACCAATAAACCGCGTAATGCGAGGCCAACCGCCGGCCATACCGGTGGCCATCGATCGACTGACAAAACAATTGCCCGCTAAGGTGCTGGCCAAAACTTTCCCAATGTTTGCCCAGGGTCGGTATGATTTTACCACGAATACTTTCGCCGATTTGCCCCAACATTGTAACAGCCGGTGTCGACCGCAGCCCTACTTTCAACGCTACAACGAGACACAGGCCGGCCGTAGGCTTAACACCGCGTTCAGAGTGGACCTGGAGTTGGATATTTGGGCCATGCCTTTTCAGCCACTGTACTGGAATTTAATCCACGATCTCAATGCATATCGATATTGTAATCCCGCCGTTAATACATAATATTATAATACTAAAAAACTTGAGTTCTGTATAAATGAGTAACATTAGCAAATATATTTTATAATTATTTTTATTTGGTTAACAAATAAACACAAATAACGAAGCATGTATACAATATAAATAATGCAATAATAAATAAATAATTGGTTTGTAATTAAAATTATAAAAAACAATACACATTAAAATACAGTAATTTACATTAATTAATGTTTTAAAATCTAAGCAAGTATTTTTTAATTTTATTAAACAAATTGTTAAGTTTACTAAACTTATAAATGCCATGTAATTTTTTAATTTGATATTTCACAACATAACATGTGCGATTAAATGCAAGCATTTCTAGAGTAATTATTACTATTTAGGTTTAGGTTTATATTATTTTAGAAAATAAATGTTTTATATATAACGGTATTAGTAAAAATAAAAAACAATTTAAAATAATTTTATATTAAAAACATCAATGTCATATCAAATAATCTCATTAATTACATTGTTAATAGTATTTCAAACTATCGACAATCAAAATACAGAGCGGAAAACACAACAAATACATCAAGGTAAAGATATATTAAAATTTATAACAGCCAATTGTAAAATTATATCAAAACTTACTAACTAATAATCACACAGAAAATAATCATAATAAACAAACAGCAACTGATCGCCACAACATAGCAAACAACTGGTCAAACAATCCGTTACTTCATAACGACTGCGATTACGCCATTTATTGTAAATGTCACACAAGAACCCATTGGACTCAAGAAGAAGTGGACAATACTCGCCGCTATTTGCAGTCGCGGTTCTACTACGAGTCGGGCGTACGGCCAGCCCTACCGGCCTGTCGTGCAGTATATATACGTAAAAACTGGAAATGTTTATCGCTGTCCGAAAGAACCCGATTTATAGCAGCCATACGTAAACTGTACGAAAGGGGTGTCATTCATGCGTACAGTGAACTGCACAACAGATGGTGGGCCGCTATGCATAAGACCATAGAGTTTGTGCCGTTTCATAGGGCCTTCAATCTGGCCATCGAAAGAGAGCTCTGGAAAGTAGACCCAACATTACCTGGTTTACCATATTGGGTAAGTGGTTAAAAAAAACTTTAATAATAATTAGGGTGTTTATGGTCATTTGCAGGCCTTGTTTTTTGGATAACTATTTTCACAGTGAAAAATAAATGTTACCATGACTATAACTTAATATTTTACAAGGACATTGGCACCGACTTTGCACAGCCGTGGAAATCATGTCTATGGCGAGACCTGGGATGGGGTGGACTATATCGTAACGGGTGGTGCGTTAGGGACGGCACTATTCATCGTAATCTATCCATTGATTTCCA